TACCTCTTTTTTTAGTGCCCATCACAGGGCTGGGCACATAGCTCATCAAATACTTCAGCTGTAACTGAAACATTCACACATACCAAGGCTCTTTGAAATGGTTGAAGACTAGGCCACAAGATTCATCAATAATTGTGAAAGCTGGGTCTAAGGAACTAGCAATCTGGGGAAAACTGGCAAATGCTCCTAAAAGATGTCGACACGAGAAAAATTTTTCAAGTGGGATTGTGTCATCACCTTTAAATTGTTTTAAACATATTTGTTACGTGGATACATGATTGGATATTGCTCTGTCTGGAGGCACTGGACAACACACTTCCTTAGGGTGTTTACCATTTCTTTGGTTCCACCATGACCTTTTCAAATACAGACCCAGGAACATAGAAGGAAACTTGCTTGTGCCTGTGTTTGGTTTGAGAATTACATCTAAATGGCTCTCACCACTCTCTGCATATATTTTTAATGGATAAATGGCTAATTTTAGGATTAGACATGGAATATATGACATGAGCCTGGGGCATCTTAAAATGCCTGAAAGCAAGTACTCACAAACAACTATGATGGAGATGTCTAAGAGACACAGCAATCAACTGAAAAACTCCCAATCATCAATGCTGGAACAAATCTGAGCAACAAAATAAAAATTTATTAGATAACAGCCCAAAGAATGAGTTCATGCTGATATAGATGACTTAATAAATAAATGGGAAAAAGATAAATTTCAAATGCAAAACCCAGAACAATTTATATCACTACTGTGTCCTCTCAGATCTAGACCACAACCTCAGAGCATAGCTCCCCACCAATCCCCTCCCACCCACCCCCCTTAGGAATAGAATGCTGGCTGGGGATGTAGCTCAGTGCTTGCACAAAGCCATAGGTTTGATCCCTAGCACCACATAAACTAGGTGCTTGTAACCCCAGTACTCAAGAGATGGAGGCAGGAGAATCCGGAGTTAGAAGTCATTTACAGCTAAGAAGAGTTTGAAGCCAGCCTTGGCTACATGAGATCCTGTCTAAAAACAAAACAGCCAGGTGTGGTGGTGCATGCCTTTAATCCCAGCACTCAGGAGGCAGAGGCAGGTGGATCTCTGTGAGTTCGAGGCCAGCCTGGTCTACATACTGAGTTCCAGGACAGCTGGGGCTACAGGGAGACCCTATCTCAAAAAGCCAAAAAAAAAACACTAGGAAGAAAAACAGACAGTATAGAATATCCTTGGTAATTGGCTTCTAGAATGTAGTGTGTAGTGTGAAAAGAGGGAGCAAAGTGCCTTCAGAGAAACCTAGCAAAAGCCACCAAGACACATGACCAAGGGTAGTATCACAGTGTACATCCTTGCTTCAGTGTGATGGACAATTTACCTCTGTGGTCTGTCTTCCAAATACCTCAGTCAAAGTTGACCCATGACAGACAAACTCTTTAACCAGGCCTGGCGTAATCCCAGCACTAAAAAGGCTAAAGCCAGTCTTGGCTACATAGTGAGAGAGACCCTACCTCAAAGGAATAAAAAGGAAAAGACAAATCCAACCGAAGTATAGTCCACAAAGTAGCTGACCAGTCCTCTAAACTGTCAAAGTCATCAAAGACATTTAAGATACTGTCATAACCTACAGGAGTCTAAGGACACATAATAACAACTAACTGTAAAATGCCATCCTGCATGGGATTCTGGGTCAGAAAATGGACATTGAGCAGCAACCAATAAAATCCAATATAAAGTGTGAAGTTCAGTTAATAATTACCATTATTTCATCAGTTATGGTAGATGTACCACAGCAGAATGTTAACAAACCTGGTGGTGGGGGAAGCACTGTACTGTATTTGATTTAGGTACTGAGGATTGAATCTATAGCCTCCCACTTACTAGGCAAGCTCTTTACCAGTGGCCTATAGCCTCTACAGGAGCTCACTATGCAGCCCAGGTGACTGACCTCAAACTCTCCTTCCTTCTGCCCCAGCCTACCAGGTTTGGGTACCATAGGCATGTATCATCATGCCCAGAAGAATTATCTTTTGAAGTATTGTTTAATATGCCATCTGAGCAACAGATTGACTGCATGCTTATCTTCACAACTGTACTTTTCACTACAGGGTGCTGGTGACAGTTTTGTGGGAGCGCTGGCCTTCTACCTGGCTTACTACCCAAATTTGTCCTTGGAAGAAATGCTCAAGAGATCCAATTCCATTGCTGCTGTCAGCGTCCAGGCTGCAGGGACACAGTCCTCTTATCCATATAAAGAAGACCTTCCACTTACTCTGTTTTGATTGCTGTTAACCCCCAAATATATCTGGGAATAAAAGGTACCTGGGTGAGGTCACTTTTAACTCAAATTTACTAGAAAATGTCCTTACTTTATAAATATTATGTTCATTTATTAACTTATCAAGCTTTTCATTGACTTATTTATAATGTTCCTTTGCTCTTGTACGGATTTACCACAGCCAGTGAAAATTAGATTCCACCGTCAGGATCGATACAAACAGTACCACTGTTTAGGGATTCGCACAATCTTTTGCTGACACTGTTAATGAAATATGCACCCATACAGCAGAGGTGGTGGACAGCAGTATCTAGCGTGGGAGCAGAGCACAGGATATAGGGACTGGATCTCTGTCCTAAGTACATTCTGGGAGGAGCAGGTGATATTTTTAGCTTGTGTTGTCAAACTTTCACTTTGAGTTTTTGCTTTTATTTTGAGACAGGGTCTCCCATAGCCCTAGCTGATCTGGACTCACTATGTAGACCAGGCTGGCCTTGATCTTCCAGGGATCCACCTGCCTCTGCCTCCCAAATGTTGTGATTAAAGGCATGTGCCACCAAGCCTGGCTCAAACTTTTGCTTTGGGGGGCTGGAGATATAGTTCAGTTAGTAGAGTGTTTTCCTGGTATGCATAAAGCCCTGGGTTCAAAAGCCATAGTAGGATCAGAAGTTCAAGATCAGCTGGGTGTGGAGGCATACACCTTTAATTCCAGCACTCAGGAGGTAGAGGCAGATGAGTCTCTGTGAGAGCAAGGCCAGCCTGGTCTACATAGCAAGTTCCAGGCCAACTGAGGCTACAGGGAGACACTGTCTCAAAAAAAAACCAGAAAAATTCAGGATCATCCTTGGCTACATAGAGAATTTGAGACCAGCGTGGACTATATGACACTCTGTTTGAAAAAAAGCACCCTGTTGGTTTGTATCTCAACAGGTAAAGGTGCTTGCCACCAAGCCTGATGACTTGAGTTTGATTTCTGGAACCCATGTAGTAGAAGTAGAAAACTGACTTCTACAAGCTGTTCTCTGACCTATACGCAAAGTAAATGTTAAAAAAGAAATAAAAAAAAACCCTTCTGCTTTGTAAGGAGTAAGCCAAGTCTTATTTTTTGTATTTTGTTTTGAGACATGTTGCCCAAATTGGCCTCAACTCAAACTCACTGTGTAGTAGATGCTGGCTTTGTACTCCTGGTCCTCCTGCATCTACCCCTCCAGCGTTGGGATTACAGGGAGGTGTTCCCACACCTGGCCCAAATCTGGATTATTTTTGGGAGGGGGGGTGGTCTTTTTGAGACAAGGTCTCCCTATAGCCACAGCTGTCCTGGAACTCACTATGTAGACCAGGCTGGCCTTGAACTCACAGAGATCTGCCTGCCTAGGCCTCCTGAGTGCTGGGATTAAAGGCCTGTGCCACCACACCCAGCTGTCTGGATATTTATTGAAATACTTCTATGTTGTGTCAACAACTGATTTTTTTTTTAATGTAAACACTCTGTGGCCTCATTCAACTGAAGGGCTGACTATCCAAGTCACGTGCTATGCTGTTTTGTTAAAGCTTAGTTTTTTAAAGGAATCTGTGTATGTTACTGACTCTACATGACTTAGCTAATATAATAGATTTTTCTTGTAACGAAGGCCACTGTGTAGTTTCAACCTACAAATAGCCAAGATCTCACCTGTTACTGCTTTGAACCATAATTTTAACAAAAGATGCCATAAAAGTTGACAATAATACCACAAGCCCTTAAGGCTCAACAACTGTTCATATCTAATTCCATTTCCAGCTAGCTGCTCATTTCCTCTAGAGACACAGATTGGGCCATGGGGAGGGACACTTGTTATTTTGGGACAGCACTGGTTCCCTAATGCTTGTGGCTAGGGTAGACAGATTTTCTCAGATACTTCAAATGAAGTAGGATATGAACCAGTGTTTCAAAAAAACATTTTATTTCAAGCAAGAAATATGAGAAATAAAGCTGGAGAGTTTTGAAAGACGATGACAGTCCGAGAAAGGGGATGGTGTGGATTGGGCAGCAGAAGTCCTCATGTGAATGTGAGGGATATCAATGGGATTTCCATGGTAACTATGCAGTACCACCCTGCCCAGAAGTGGCTTTATGGAAACACACACCACAGCTCCTCTCATTTTTAATTTTTGATCTTTTAGAAACAGGGTCTCCCTATAACCCCAGCTGGCCTGGAATTGGCTATGTAGACTAGGTTGGCCTTGAACTTACAGATTCACCTGCCTCTGCCTCCCCAGTGCTGGGATTAAAGGCATGTGCCACCACTTGGTGGGTGCCTCTCATTTTAAAAAATACAGGCAATAGAAGAGTCCACTGCCATCATATGAGCCTGGAACTAGTCTGGCCTACGTAGCAAGTCCAGCACTGCCTAAGCCACATGGTGAGACTGTCTAAAACTAAACAATAAACGATGCTATGCCTATGGCTTTGGTGACCTGAGTCTGAGCATGGCATGCTGACCAATGGTGCTCTTCCTAGTTATCAACCACCAACCAAAAGGCTCTCCTGGTTTGTTCTTCCTGCCAACACTTATCCTCTGGTATTACATGGGAATGTCTACAGTACTGTCTAGAGCACTTTCCTTAGAGATATGAAATCTTCCACAAGTCTCATTATGGAAAACGCTTTTATTATTTGAATAGTTATTTCTTGGTAATGTAGTTAATTTTTTAAATTTAAATAGTCGAGGGAAATATCACTGAGACAATAGCACAGGCTATTTTAATGTTTTTATTAAGGCCATAAAAATATCCAGAAAGATAAATAACTGATGCAATGATATCTGCCCTAATGTGGGGAACTTTCTTTCACTGAGCGGTTCCCTTCACAATGGCCTTCAAATCACAGGAGGCTGTCAGGCCGCACCACTTCCTCTTCTCTTGTTACTACTGCAGGATTTCTGAATCAGTCTCCTGCCCTCAGTCTTCTCATTATAAATCAAATTCATTTCAATCCATTGTTTAGAGGGAGCGTATTTTTTTCTGTTCCACAAAGAGGACTTTTTTGTTCACTGTTGAGACAAAAAAAAAAATGATCGTAAGAGAAAACGACAAAGTGTCACCATTTTTATTAAAATATGCACACTACACCATAAGCCCTCTCCTTTCCCTACTTTGCTATTCCTGTGACATAAGGATGGAGCTGATTTGCAAACCCAGTTCCTCAACCCCAGAGGCCAAAGAAGACCCGAGAAAACAGGTAGGAAGATAAAGGAAGGGCTACCAGCCAATTTGCAGTGTCCTTGACATCCCATAAAGCCATTATTTCAATCAATGTGAAATACTGGGCAAAAATAAAAAACAATGACTTGGCACAGATGAAGGCCACTCTTGTAGTGGGTAAGCAATTAGAGGCTGGGCACCAAACCCAGAAACAGAGCAAGAATTGAGCAGACCACAGAAATGGCAGCCAGAAGGGGAGAGTGAATACCATGCAACCTCTACTTCTGGAGGCTTAATACCCCCCAGAGAAATGCTTCAGATTGGTAACAGCATCATACCAAAGCCTCAGAACATGACTTTTACAGAATAGTTTCCTAAAACAAAACCAAAAACGTGCTGCCTGCCTGTGTAAGATTGAGAGCTGGAAGCTAGGACAGTAAACTTCCACAGCGCCCAAAATGTCCTATAACACACCACTAACTTCCAATTGACACACACAATCCCTGCTTGATTTCTCTACCACAAAAACAAAGCCTGCACTCAAAGAAAACCCAGGACCCAAAGGACTGTGTGACCTAAGAACTCCTCACTGGACCCAACCAGACAAAAAGGGTTTAGCTTCATTTTTCTTTCTTCTACAGTCAAAGTGGATACTCTGTATATTAAGTTCCCAAATTGCCTATGATTAAGGATTAGCTAGGAAGTCGGGGAGGCAGGGGCAGGTGGATCTCTGTGAGTTTGAGGCCACCCTGGTCTACAAAGTGAGTTCCAGGCCAGCTGGAGCTACAGGGAGACCCTGTCTTAAAAAGACCCCCCCCAAAAAAAAGAAAAATCTGGTTAGGAGCAAGAATCCCACCAGAAAACTATTTTAAAAGTTCTTAGACAGTTCAGATGGGCAGATGGATTTAAGAACCATTAACAAATTAACAGAAAAATTAATCACAAAATTAATAAAAATAAATTATACACATAAGGTATATTTTTCACATACTTCAAATCTTCTAAAATATGAGCAGACTTCATCCTCCTGAAACTCCAAGGATTACAAAGTATTATAAGGTATTAGTAAATAACCCCAGGTACTAGGCTGGGGAGATGGTTCAGAGAATAAATAGCCTGCTTGTTGTACAAGTGTGAAGACTGAAGTTCAGATCCCCAGAACCCATGTAAAAAGCCAGGGACATGTGGCAGCTGCCTGAGACAGAGAATCCCCAGATGAAAAAAGTGGAGAGACCAAGGAAGACACTCAACGTCAACTTCAGGCCTCCACTCGAATACACAGCACCCATCCCTACACACACCCACACTGACATGTGCACACATGCAAACACGGATACACATGCCCCCTCCTCCAAAATCACTCAGGTACCTTCCATCAAACACTGTTGTTAGTAAAACGATATATTTCTTCCATGTTTTTCAATACATAAATAAAAAAGTGGGTAAAAAAGAGGGCTAGGGCTGGGGATGTAGCTCAGTGTTACAGTGTTAAAACAAACCTGCCAAGTATGTGTAAGGCTCTGAGTTCCATCCCCAGCATTGCCAAAGAGAGAGAGGAAGGAGGGAGGGGAGAAGAGGAGGAAGAAGGGGAGGAAGAGGGAAAGAGAGAGGGAGAGAGCGAGCTTGAGAGAGAGGAGGATCTTGATTCACTGAAATCAGGAAGTTATATAAATGACCATGACCAGGAGTCACTGATTAATAAAGCAAAACTTTATACATGAAAATCCCTTCATTTAAAGGAATAGTTTAGCGTATAGAGCTGTGATAGGCATCATAGAGTACATAAGAATCTCTGATTTGCTAGGCATGGTGGCACACACCTTTAATCCCAGCACTTAGGAGGCAGAGGCAGGGGCAGGCAGATCTCTGAATTTCAGGCCAGCCCCACTACAGGGAGACCCTGTCTCAAAAAGGAAAAAAAAAGAATCTCTGATTTAATAAACTAGTACATCACAAAGTGTTCTTATGAATATCCAGTAAAGCTCTTAACCTAGAGATCGGGCCAAATGCAGCAATGCAAGCCTATAATCCCAGCGCTAAGGCAGAGGCAGGAGGGTTCAGAGTTCAACGCCAGCCTAAGCTACATAGTGAGTGAGACCCTCTCTCCAAAACCTAGAAACAAACAAAAAAAGAACTTATAAAGCTCAAAGGGGACAGCAACAATGTCAGAAGATCTCATGGATAAAGCTGTTTCTCAAGAAAGTAGCATTTAGATGCAGGAAAAGGGCAGTAAGGACTGGGTAGCAGTGCACCTGTCTAGCATATGCATGGGACAGGATTCAACCTCCGGCACTGGAAACAAAAAATAAAACTACAATAAAATTGGAATAAAGGTAGGAAGCAAAAATACAGTGGAGCTCCCATGGAGCTCTGGGGCCTTGAATGCCACAAGATCCAAACTTCACATTTTCAGTTGTTTTTTTCTTGTTATGTTTGGTTTTGGTTAATTGGGTTTTGGGGGGGGGCAGTTCTGGGGATTGACCTAGGACCTTAGACATGCTAAATAAGTACTCAATCACTGAGCTATAGCCCCAGCCAAGACCCTGATTTTAAACAAGTAGTAGGAAGATGAAATTGGCTCCATGTAGCAGAAAGAGTCAGAAGGTTTGGGTTCTAACTTTGACTCTAAGGGGCTAGGGATTTAGCACAATATTAAAGAATGCTTGCACAAGGTCCAGGGTTTGGTGCCCAGCTGCAGGGAAGGAGGCACAAGGATCCAGTAATTATCAGCTCTGAGTCTCTAGGCAAATTATCAAAATACTCTCTTTTTGGTTTCTCTCTGTATATAAAAGACACACACAGAGCTGCCAGATGAACAGTGAGTGCTCAATACATAGTTGAGCTGAAATGACTGATATCCACAACACTAAACATAATTTTCAGTCAAAATATTTGCTGTTTAACTCATAGAAGAATCTGTCAAGTTCTTTCCCTACAACTAACCTAAATCTATTGTTTCGATTAAAGTCTGTATTGCCTTGTTTAGTGATCCATGGAATTAAAACTGACAAGTTTTCATTCTCTTTACGATAAATAAAGTTTAACATGCTTATGCCTCAGCCGCTAATCCTTCCCTCTTGGAAATTAGCATCTAGTATTATGTGAGGAAAGTGAGTCTAGAAAAAAAAAAAAAAAAAAAAAAAAAGCCAGAGGCAAATATAACAGGTTCTTGCCATAGAGCACTCTGACATGTTCAACTAACCAGAAGTGTTCCTATGTTTCCTTTCTTGATTTACTTCATGAAACAGACTAACAAAACATTATCCTCCAACTAACTTTACTTGTTGAGGTAAAATGAAGGAAGAAATGCCAAATTCTTTGGTATTCTGGGCAATGAGGCAGCTTCAAAGCAAACATCTTCAAGACAGACGTCTACAGAGCATACAATAGGCTAGACACGCCGGCTACCCGACAACATTCCCTTCAGAAAAGAGAATTTTGTTGTCAAGGTTCAGGCATTCCTTATTAGGAAAGTGCCAACTGTGTATCAGAAATCCATATACAAACTTATGATCTGCACTGCTGACAGTTGTATCCCTTCGCATCTCCAAACTTAAAAACAATCTGACAGGCTGAGTGTGCCTGTCAATCTCAGCAGAGGCAGGTGAATCTCAATGGAGACCAGCCTGGTCAAGTTCCAGGCTAGCCAGGGCTATAAGGAGACTCTGTCTCAAAAAACCAAAACAAACAAACAAAAATATGAGAAATAGTAAATTCTCAATAGCTCCTCTACACTAAGGATGCAAAGTCCAGTATAATTTTAACTATCATAAAGGCTCATTTAATAGACATTTATTAAGTACTGTGTGAATTTCCTAAAAATAAACTCTAGAGGAATTAAAACAGCAGAAAAATGGTACTTTTATTATAAAGTTCATCACTTTTAAGTTTTCACTAATACAAAGACATGGGGGGGAAACACACCAATCAAATATTAAACTTCATTCTAGTAATTTTTCCACCATATGAGGAATCTTATTGAAATTCAGATTTCTTGTCTTCAGGTTTAAGCCTAGAATTTCTTTTATTACAATAATGGTCAGAAATATGAACACCATAAAAAGAGCAAGGAACTTCTAATTGAAGAATGGAACTCAAGCAATTTTAAGCCGACAACTGGGCTTGGGTTTTTTTTCCTGCCTCTTCATACTAATACAGCCTTTATCTTATTGACAGGAAACGAGAAAGGAGAGAAAAATTTAAAAGGTCAGAATTCTAAAGTAAAACTTGTTTTGCCTAAGTCTACACACCAAATTCAGAAAAGGGTGAGCTTCTACCAATGACTATTGGGTTTGTGAGTGGAAAAATCTAGCCTTGGGAACATGCCTTTGTAATTTTTTTATTGCATTCATTTATTCTATGTGTATGGGGGGTGTGCCACAGCATACATGTAGAAATCAGAGGACAACCTGCAGGAGTTGTTTCTCTCCTTCTATCATGTAGGTCCCAGGAATGAAACTCAAATTGTCAGGCTTGGAAGCAAGTGCCTTTATCTGCTGAGCCATACTTGCTGGCCTAGGCATGTGTCCTTCAGAGAAATATCTGTCTTTCCTAAGACCATTTAAAGTTAACATTTACTATAGCATTTCAGTAAAAAGCACAAAATAGAAAATCAAATTTCCTATCCTCAGGTATCAATATATGGACACTACTTTAACTCCTATTTGACTGCTGGAACTCGCCAAGGTCAGACCATGCCCTCCCTTTCTCAGGTACTTCCTTTCCAGGTTAGCCTATTCTCTTCATGTGGCTGATTTCCTTTGTCATGGGATTCACTAACCCTTTTGGAGATTTTCTCCAACTATCCTAGCTGAAGTAAATCTCCCAACCCCAACTCCTCATACATCTCAAAATCCTGATGGTCTCACTCAGCATTTGTTTATCATAATGTCATTTCTTCCCTCTCTTTGTGGAACAGACCGTAAGTGCCCAGAGTGTAGAGACTGAATCTATCCTGCCACCTCTGGACAGTAGCTAGCACCATAATAAACATTCAATACATATTGTTGAATGAATTCTACAATTCCAAAGGGGCCACAAACTGCGGAGGCATTCGGGAAAGGGGACAACCGGCCTCGAAAGCACTTGAACCTACTGTGCTATAACTTCTCTGAACCTTACCAATTGGATCATAATGCAAAAGAGTCAGTTTCTCTCGGAGTCGACTTCTCTTGGTGTTGAAGGAGAAACCTGTCCCAGCTTGGCTCATCAGTTTCACCAGAATGGTTCTAGGATTGAAAAGCAAGCTGTTACAAACTAAGGAAATACACTACGCTGCCATGAACACACAGCGCATGAACCTTGTGGAATCATTCTAGTTATGGGCATTACTCAGCAGCCCTAAGGAGGTTTCAGTTTGAAGACAGATTGTGTTTTCCTTAAAACAGTTTCAATGGCTCTGAATCGCAAGGTTTAGTCAACTATGGTGACTTGGTAAACCTAGACAGGAGTAGTCAAGCCAAGTGAGAGAACTCAACTCTGACACCCAGCTCTCACGAGGAAGCATTTGGGAGGATACAAGAGTTCTGGCAACCACAGCTGGCAGTGTGGCAGCTGTAAAGATGGCTGCCTCAGAATAGCCCTTCTTTCAGGACAAGGGTGACAGACGTATAATCAAGAAGAGACAAAATCAAGAGATTTGAAGTTTCACAACACTAATGTACGAGCCCCGTGCCCATTCACATTTCATTTAAACCACAGTGATCCATCCAAAGCATCAAATCTGTGTCAGCCTCACTGGACCTTTTAATTCCTGTGCTGTTACTTTTTTCACTTGAGTTGTCTTTGTCTCCTCATGGAAGGTATTATTTCTCAAGTAATTCCAAAACAAATTTGAAGCATTTAAGACTACATTACAAGCCAGGCAAGGAGGCTCACACCTGTAAGCCAGGAAGATTGCTGTGAAGTTCAAGTCTAGTCTGGGATACAAAGTGAGATCCTGTCTCAAAACACAAAACCAAACCATACCAATGCCCAGCACAGTGCCTCTGAGGAATACAGCACTGGATTAATCAAGACAAACAATAATTCCAGGTCGGGTGGCATAGGTCTACAATGCTAATTACTCTAGAGGCTGGAGCAAGAAGATCATAAGTTTAAGGCCAGTCTGGGCAACACAGTGAGACCTTGTCTTAAATTTTTTAAAAAAGGGGGGTGGGGGCTGGGCATATAATGAAGTGAGAGCATTTGCCTAGCATCTATTGATCTCTAGGTTCAACTACTGAGGGGAAAAAACAGAATTAGTCATTCATTCAACAATGATCCAACAAACTGCTTACTTACAGAGGTACTTACTCTGTGGAAGAACTATAAAAAACATAATGCTAAGCCTGAATCCTCGAGGAGCTAAAATTATGGTATAGGAGATGAACTGGCACATAGGTAAAAAGGCAAGGCATACATAAGAAATATCACAAGGGTGCAAAGAACATGAAAGTCAATCCCAGGATTTCTACAGAATCAGGGATAAGGGGAATTTTACCTGGGCATAAAGAGCTGAATTACAGGAAAAGCTATGTGAATCAATGAAAAACTGGAGAGCACAAAATCATCTATGCTTCTCAATAACTTGGATCCAGAAAAATCTATACTTTTAAAGATTTGGTTTATTTTTTTTTTTACAACCATTTTAGAATTTTCCTGTTTTTTTTTTCAGAGTCTACCTATCTATGGTCTCAAACTTATGGCAATCCTGTTTCAGCTTCCAGAACTCCTGGCTAAAAATTTCCTTTTTATTTCATTTTTTGAAACAGGGTCTGCCTATGTAGCTTTGAGTGACTTGGAACTTGTTACATAGACCAGGCTGGCCTTGCACTTTCAGCCATCCTCCTGCTTCTGCCTGTCTCCAGGTGCACCACCACACACCCTGCTGAATTTTCCTATTTTTAAGATAGAAAATCTGAAGTCATTGCCTAAAAATTTATATTGAAATACCACTCCACCCTCTGTAACAGCACATCATCTTTAATAGTTACAATTTCTCAAGTGCTTCTACCATGGTTTTAAAACTCATAAATATGCTCTATGACTTAATCAAATCAATGCTTATTCTATTGGAGGGCTTCAGACAAGTGATTCTTGCTTCTCAGTTGCAAGAAAAAGAATTCTGGTGGCAGTCTAAACAGGGCAGCAGCCTGATGGCTTGTTTAAGAACAGAAAACTGAACTGATAAAGGCTTGAGATGAGAGACACATCAAGTGCTTTAAAGAAGTTGAATGTTCACTGACATTACCCAGTTGGACAGAAGAGAAATAAAGATAGCCCTTAACTTGTGATTTTCAATTTTACTGTAGAAAAGCTTTCAAAAGAAGCCAGACTTCAAACTGTGACCTTTTTGCAGAATAGCAGTCAGGTATTCTTTGGTGTCATTGGGCAGCAGGTACCACAGCTTCTTATAGGAAGCAGTCAATTATGTGTATGGACTGAGATGGCAAGCTGTGATGTTCTGAGGACTAGGTATGGTAAGTGCATTTTTGCTTACCGTATGATGGATTTATCAAATGGTGGAACCATCATTAACTCAAGATCCATCTGTACTTTTTCAAGGTGTTTACATGGACAAAATAATTAATCAAATTAATAACCCTCAAGCCAACTTTTAAGAAATCAAGACCAAACACTTGGTTTAAAATAAAGACATATTGGCAGCAGCAAGACTAAGAAAACCAACATTTAAGCAAAGTTTAAATAAAATTAAAACTGTTACTTACTTTGACTTGCTCTTGGCAACTTTTTTGGGTAAATGTTGGGAGAGAAAATAAAAGGATAAATTCATTATTGTCCATATATAAAGTGCATATAAACATCAGTAATAACCCCAAATATCTAACTCACGAAATATTCATGGTACACTAATTATTTCCTGGATATTAGCGAACCCAATGGGATGTTACACAAAGATAAAAAGATCCAATCAAATCCATGTAATATTGCACAATCAATGCAGTTGACTACCTTAAAATGTTCCTAAAGTAGCATCTGCTCTAGTTTTTGCCTCTTCCATCATGTAAACATCTGTACCATAACAAGCCTCTGGCTTAACAAATCAACTTTGCAAAGTGCAACTACGTCACACGAGATGGAAAAGGGAAAGTAAATCGAATCAGGAAATCAGCAGGTGCCAGGAAGAGCGGAGCAGCTGGAGGAGCCGACTCCCACTGTCCCGCAGTGTCTGCCAGTCCACGGCCAGGAGCGGCCTCTTCACTCAGAGTTCGAAACTGGCTGCAGAACTCCTCCAGACCTTCTCGGATGGCCGCGCCGACTGCAGGCACATCCCTACAGGGCATGGAACGCCAACGCGTCCCACCAGACCCCGGGGTCCAGCCAACCTAAAGCACTCTGGTCGCAGACTCTACGGGGCTGCGCGGCCCTGGGGCGGCAGCGACCCCGCCCGTCCCATCTCGGGACCCCCGTCACGGCCACGGCCCACGCTGCCGCCCCAGACCCACTTACAGGACACCGCGGAAAGCAACATGGCCGCCGCACCCGTAGGCTATCCGTGACCAACCTAGAGAGTTAAACAAACACCTACTTCCGGGGCATGGACCGGTTCCGGAAGCGAGAGACCGGAAGTTGCACGAAGTCACGCCTCCACCTGGATCCCGGGATTCGGGCTCTGTATATCACTGATAGTAGTAAGGCAGGGTGGAGTCCCGTTCCCAGTGGACGTCGGCGTTCATGTCCAGTGTCAGAATTAAGTGCGTCCTTTGTTTCATTAAATAAGCACAGCCACCTCGTTAGAGACACAGGAACTGTATGTTGTACCTCAGCTCCTCCAGACTTATAACACACCACCAACATACCATCTCAGCTCTCTGGACAGAAAGACAGGTGGATCCTCTGCGTTCCAGGCCAGACAGGGCTACATAGTGAGACCCTGTCTAAAATAAAATAAAATATTTCATCCTTTTAGAAAGCTGCCTCTCCAACTCCACATTGTTAAGGCCCACTTACAAACCTCACCTGAGTATCCTCTATTCCTTAGTTATCAGTTGGATCTAAGAGGTCCTGCTCCCTGTTTATCTCCAACTGCTTCCTCCAATACCTAGCACAGAGTGAGACAAAAAGGGCTTAATAACCCTGATTGGAAGCACTTAAGTAACTTGCCTCTGCTAAGCCTTGTGGCATGCCTCTATAATCCCAGCTACTTAGGAGGCTAAAGGCAGGGGAATTGCAAGTTCAAGGTCAACCTGGATAACTTAGATACTATCTTGAAAATAAGTAAGTACATAGAATAATAAAATACTTTGGCATAGTGTTACACATCTGTAATCCCAGCACTTGAGAGGCTCACCATGTGTTGAAAGCCAGCCTGAGTTACATAGCTACATAGAGTGATTTTCAGACCAGCCTAGAATACAGAGTGAGACCCTGTCTCAACAACAACAAAGAAGGATATGGCTCAGTGGTAGAGTACTGGCCTGGCCAGTGAGCCCCTAGGTTTCCCTTAATGGGCATGGTGGCCCACACCTATAAATCCCAGCACTTTGGAAGTAGAGGCAGGAGGATCAGGAGTCTGAGGCGATCTTGGACTATATAAGACCCTTCCTCCATGGGAAGAAAAAGGCCTCCTATAGATGTAGCTTAGTGGTAGAGCACTTGCCTGGCATGCAGGAACAATTCCCACTTGGGCATCATTAGTTTTTTAAGTAATGTGCAAAAAACCCAAGCTCCTCCAATACCAGGGACTTCAGTGGCAGCTTCATTTCCCAATTAATAATCAGGACTTTAGGATTTTTGTTGTGTTGTGTTTTTTGAGACAGTGTATCATATAGCCCAGTCTGACCAGAATCAATATGTAGCTTAGGATGACCTTGAACTCCTGATTTTCCTGTCTCTACCTCCAAAATGCTGGAATTACAGGCATGAGCCATGTCTGATTATTTTCTTATGGCGTCATTTTATTTGCTGTTTTTTTGCCCTTTTATTTCCTACAAATTGGAAGATAGATTTAAAGACTTGAGTATAGCCAGACATTGTGGCTCATGCCTTTAATCCCAGCACTCAGGAGGCAGAGGCAGGTGGATCTCTGTGAGTTCAAGGCAAGCCTGGTCTACTTATCAAGTTCCAGGCCAGCTGGGGCTACAGGGAGACCCTTTCTCAAAAAGACCAAAAAAATAACCTCGCATATGTTCTACTTGAAATATTTTACAAGACTTCATGGGTGATGTCTGGACTTCTTTCTTATTGCAACATATCAGGAGCCCCAAAATCTTTGGTTGTCCCATTGCAAGTGCTAAGTTGGATAGTTTCTAGATATCACCAACGTAAAGGTTTAGGTATATTTTTTCCCTCTCTTTTCCACTTTCTCTGGGTTAATACTTGGATATGTAAGATAATCTTCATTCAAAACAAATATTCAACTCTTGGTTTTAGCCTCTATCAATGATTCTTACTTGGCTCAGTAGTTACATTTAGAGATGCACCATGGTGACTTTTGAATTTCTATCATCCTTTCATCTTTATTAGCTGGATTTCTTCTATAAAGAAAAGCTTTCCACCATCACTTGAGGCTAAGTGATCATTCCTCTTTAAAAAGACAAAGTAAATTAATGTTTTTCCTTTCCCCAAAATGAAAGTAATCTGGGTATGAGTGCCTCCCACCACTTGGGAGGAAGAGGCAGATGGCTCTCTATGAGACTGATGGTCTACATAGTGAGTTCTAGGTCAGCTGGGGCAACAGGGTGATCATGTCTAAAAAAAAAAGAATAAAATTCACATAATAGTCATTTCCAATGATAGCAACGAGGTTCTTCTCCTCTCACTGTTTTGTAGTATCATTATACTGAATTTTTATTCATTGTTTTATAGTTATCTAGGTTTTTTTTGCTTATTTGTTTTGGTTTGGTTTGGTTTGTGAAACAGTGTCTCATGTAGCCCAAGCTGGTCTCAAACTCATTATGTTATGTAGGTGAGGATGACCTTGAGGTCCTGATCCTTCTGCCTCTACTTTCCAACTATTGAGATTACAGGTAAACACTACTTTTCATATGTTATTTTTTTTAAAAAGAAAGCAATTTTTATTTATTATTTTTATTTTATGTGTATGAGTGTTTTACATGCATGTAAGTGTACCCATGTTGGGCAACACCCACAGAGATCAAGGTGTCAGATCCCCCGGAACTTGAGCTACAGACAGGTGTTAGCTACCATGTGGGTGCTGGGATTCGAGCCAAAGTCCTCTGGAAGAACAAGTGTTCTTAACTGTTGAGCCATCTCTCTTGCCCCTTCATATGTTATTTTCTATCACAAGATGTGTGTGTGTGTGTGTGTGTGTGTGTGTGTCACTCTGCCTTGCTAGACATCTTTATTGACATTTGTGTGATGCACATCTTGTACTTTACCTGACCTGAACCTGTAATCAGCTATTTCTCCACGATGCTCCGGGCATGTTTTTGATGGAATGATATGTGGAACCCACATTTGATGCACAGTCACTGGAACCAGCACTTGGCAAGTGGAGACAGGAAGACCAGGAGGTCAAGGTCATTCTCAGCTACATATTAATTTATAGTTCCAGTTACATAGTGCATGTCAAGCTTTTATTTCAAGCTATGAAATCTTCATTCAAATGAAAACTGTCTCAAAAGTTTAAAGTATAAAAAGAAACTGCACTTCTTTTTTTTTTCTTTTAAACCACTTTTGGACATACGTCCTCAGAACTCTGAATTCCAAGGGCCCCAGAAGCTCTAGACTATAAAATGGCCATTCTTTTCCAGCCGCATTGCTCTGGATCTAGTTTAAGGTTTCATGACTCAACTTCCCACTATGGGAAGTTTTCTTCACACAGTGACCATGCAGAGTGGACACATGGACACTAAATGAAGGATGTATTTCAGAGGAGACAGAGTGAACAACTATGTAAAATGATGCTGATTGATGCCAAGTAAATTATGAAACTTCAATAGGATCTGGAAGGGTGGTGGTCTCTGGGGGCCCTCACAAGAATGATTTGCATGGAGAGGAAAAGGCAAAAGTTTGAGCTAGACAGAGCCACAGAAAAACATTTTCTATAACCTTGGTCCTGGATTGTTACAATATGACATTTAGAGAATCATGTATTAAGTTCTCATGACCAGAATCAATTTCCCAAACTTGTTCTGCACCCTTCATCCTAGGCTTCTCCCATGCAAGGCCATTTTTCTAGATGCTGAAGTAAAAACACCATCTTTTCCTCACACCAATCAGTAAGTCCTGACACACAAATGTCACTTTATCAGTGGGCCATCATGTCAGCTAAAGATCCCCAAACTTGACAAACCAATTCTCTATTTACTTTGTCTTTATAGTTTCCTTAAGAGGCACTTACTGTAATTTAATTTTATTTTTTATTTGCTCATTTTTCTACTGTCTTTGTCCACCAAAACATAACTTAAGATCAGGAGCTTAGTCATATTCCCTCACTACTGTATTCCTGGAGCCTAGAACAGTGCCTCCCACATCTATTAATGCTCTCTAAAATGAATGAATATGAAGTGAGAAGCATCACATGAATGTTAATAAATGCTTTTTCTTAGCCAGCCATAGTGGCACAGGTCAGTACTCCCTGCACTTTGAAGACAGAGATTGGAGAGTCAAGAGTTTGAGGCCAAGGTGAGGTGGCACACAACTTTAGTCCCAGCAGAGGCAGGTATACCTCTATGAGTTCTAGTGCACACAGGGAGTTACAGGCCAGCTGGGGCTACATAATGAGACCCTGTAAAAGAGGGAGGAGAAGGAAGGGAAGAGGGAGGAAAAGAGGGAAGGAGGAGGAGAGAGAGAGAAAGAGAGAAAGAGGGAGGGAGGGAGAGAGAGAGAGAGAGAGAGAGAGAGAGAGAGAGAGAGAGAAAGTAAAAAGCATTTGAGACCAACCTGGGAAATATAGTAAAAACCTGTCTGAAAAATTAAGTGCTGGGGAGATGGCTTAGTTTATAAGCGTGCTCACCGACCAAACAAAGTCCTGAGTTCAAATTCCCAACACTCATGTAAAAACAAGGGCATGGTTATACATGCTTGTAACCACTGCACTATGGGGCATGAGGGACAGAGACAGGAGGACTGCAAGTCTAGCTTTAAGTTCAGGGACAGACATTTCTCAGGGGAACAAGACAGAGAGTGATAAAGCAGGAAACCCAGCATCCTTCTCTGGCCTCCACAGGTACACACACACATGCATATACACCACACACACACATATAATTAATTGAATTAAGTTCATATTTATGTTTAAATGGTAGTAAGTATTCATGTACTTGTTGATACTTTGAGGGTTCAGGAGAATGTATAGGCTTTCTTTAAAAGACGGTATCAGGGTCTAGGGAGATGGCCAAGTATGTAAAGTGTTTGCCACACAAGCTTGAGGACCTGAGTTAGGATTCCCTGCCCCTACTGAAAGCCAGGCTCAGGGGTGCATACCTGCAGAGACAGGAGGATCCCTGGGACAGGTATTCTAGCCAATCTTCAAGTTCTAGGTTCAGTGAAAGACCACGTCTCAAAAATTAAGGTGGAGAGTGATAGAGGAAGGAACCTAATGTCGACCCACCTATGCACATGTACATACACATACAATACAAAAAAGAGGCACAAAAGAGATACC